GTTTCTCTTTGTTGAACTTTGATTCGTATATTGGTTTCTTAATTTCATTTGCTTGTCTATCTTGTTTTCCTTTTTAAGAACACTAGTCTCAATTCTTTGTCAGTCAGATCTTAGATTTCCATGCCTTTATGGTGTGCTATTGGGGCCTCATTAGTTTCCTTTGGTAGAGTCATATTTCCCTGATTCTTCATGATCCTTGTATACTCACATTGATGTTTGTGTATTTGAAGGAGTGGCCACCTCTTTAGGCTTTATAATTTTACTTAGCAGGGATATATCAGTCATGAAAGGATATATAAGCCTAGCCAGTCCAGCCTTAGGTTATGTATGGGCCAACTGGCAGTGTCTATATACGGTTGGGTCTTTGTGTTGGGTTTTATAGCTGTACAGGACAGCAACCCATGCTAAGATGTTTGGTACAGCTTTTGGCACATTTCTGCTGTCACATTAGAGTGCTGGCTAGGCTCTATGTTCAGACCAGGCCACTGACTGGGCTCCTTGGGCCAGATCCATTTCTGGTAACTTCAGTTATGTGAACTCGTTGGCTGCCTTCTATAACTGCTTTCATCTGGGCAGAGTTTAAGGCTGTATTCCTGACAGTCTCATTCTGCTAGCTGGACTCTACAGTTGGGCTAGATGCAGACAGGGTTCCACAATTACTCTTGTTCTGGTGGGGTTCCAGGCTGTATTTCCTGGCCATAGGGTACAGGTGGTATGCTCCATGTTCAACTGAGACCACAGACTGGGTTCTTTGGGCCTCAGGTCAGCCATTATTTTTTTAAACTTGCTTTCTGTCTCTTCCTCTTTCTTTTCTCCTCCTTAATACTTATTATATGAATGTTACCTTTCTCCCATAGATTCTACAGACTGTTTTTATTCCTTATTTTTTGTTTTCTCTCTTACTGGATGATTTGTATAATAATCTCAAAGATCACTGATTATTTCTTTTGCTTAATCTAGTCTCCTCTCAAAGCTCTCCACTGTTTTTTCCTAAGTTTAGTCATTATATTCTTCTGCTCAAAATTTTCTCTTTGGTTATGATTTCTTTCTTTCTTTTTGAGATTCCCATTTATTCTTGTATTGTTTTCCTCATTTCAATAAATTATATACATTTGTGTTCTATTGTAGTTCACTGACTATTTAAGACAATTATTTTTCATGCGATTTATAGAATTGTAATTGTTTGGGACCAGTTTTAGTAGTTTATTGTGTTGTTTTAGTGACCTTTCATAGGTGTCTGCACATTTGAAGAAGCAGCCACCTTTTCCACACTTTACAGACTGGCTTCAGTAAGGAGAGGCCTTCACCTTTGAAAGGAAAGAGTATGCTGTAGCATGCTGTGACACCGTGGTAAAGAGTGCCAAGTGTGAGGCAGTTCCAACTCTGAGAGAAATGTGTTTTCTTATGGGCTCAGGAAACTCGTACCAGTAATATCTGAAAGTGTGTGGTCCTTGATGTCAAGGGTGATGGGTTATCTATAGTGGCTGTGAAGAGTGTTGAGGTTTCCAAGTGGTGCATCCGAGTCCAACAACAAGAGACCAGGAAGGCAGCAAGGAGGAGGGAAATTAGAGCTGGCTGTGCTTAGTTACAGCAGACAGCTACAGACAGCTGCATGGTGGCAGGTTCCTTCTATAGGCTCACACATGATGTCAAGGAACACGGCCAGAGTCAGGACCCAGGGCTAAGTATAGATTCAGGTAAGGTAGTAGGGGCTGACATTATATATGTGCATGGTTTTAAGTGCCATTATGAGTTACTGAGAGGGGACATTAGGCTCTGATGCCATCAGTCATGACATCTGAGCCACATTTAATTGGAGGGGGAAAGGGTCCATCCCACATCTGAACAGAGAAGAAAATGGCATACATTTCTCTATCATTTTACTTTTAGGCTAAATATATCACTGAATTATATATGGGTTCCTTATAGAGAACATTTAGTTTGATCTCATTCTTTTAAATGTGTTATACCAATTTGTGACTTTTAATTGGTATATTCAGATCATTTGCCTTTAAGGTAACTGTTGATGTATTAACACTTAAGTCTTCCATTTTATTTTTTTATGCTTTTTTTTACTCTTTTTTTCAACATTCCCTGCTTCTTTTCTCCTCCGTGATTTTCTGTGGGATACTAGAACATTTTCTGGATTGTATCTTTATTATATGTCATGTGTTTGAGTATATCACTTTGTATATATTTCTTAGCAGTTGCTCTGGGTATTATGGTATTCACAGGTAATTTATCACAATTTGTTCATATTGACATCTTAACACTTTGTGTAAGATGTGGAATTTTCACTTGACTCATTTTACATTCTCCACATTTATGTGACATTGTCTTGAGGATTTCTTGTACATATATTAAGTTATAATTTTTGTTTTAATCATCAAATATGGCTTAAGAAACCAATGAGAAGGATAGTCTATTGTATTTACCTTTATTTTTGTTGTTTCATTGTTTTTTATTCCTTAGTGTTATTCTAAGATTCCTTCTTTTGTCATTTCCTTTCTATTTGAGGAATTTCCTTTAGTCATCCTTTAATGCTTGGTTTGATAGCAGCATGGGTTGATAGTAACAAATTCTCATTCTTTTCCTTTAGGACTATGTCCTGATCTTTTCTTTTGACCTTTGCAAAATAATATTTTAATATTAGGCCACTTCTTTAGGCTCCCAAGATTTCTGATAAAAAATCTCCTTTCATTCATATGAAATTTCCTTTAAAAGCAATGCAGTTTTTTTCTGGTTGCTTTCCAGATTTTCCCTTTGACTTTATTTATAGCAGTTTCAAAGTGTGAATTTATCTAGACTTTTCCTTGCTGTTTACTCAGCTTCTTAGTTATGTCTTTTCACCAATTGTGAGAATTTATCAGGTATAATTTCATCAAAATTCTTTTCAGCTACACTCTTTTTTCTCTCCTTCTGGGACTCTGATAAATAAGCATTGAATCCTTTGATACCATCTTACAGGCATTTTAAAAGCTCTCTTGATTCCGAGTTAAAATTCAGTAAATACTATTCTTCTTTACTGAAGTTCACTGATTGTATTATCTATCATTTCCACTTTACTATTGGTCCAATTCAACAATTCTTTATTTCAGTTGTTACATTTCTTTTTTATGACTCCATATAGTTCTTTTTTAATCCTTTTTCTGTATTTTCATATGTTTCAAGAGATATTGTAATTATTTGTTGAACCATTTTTTGTGACAATTACTTAAAACTCTTTGTCAGATAATTCCAATGTGTGATTCATTTGGTTTTGGCTTAAGTAGATTGTCTGTTCTCAACAAAGTTGATATTTTTCAGATCCTTAGCATGATTAGTGATTTGTCTCAAAATATAACATTTAGGGAATTATTTCAGGATAATCTGAATCCTAGTTAAACCATTTATTTAATCAGGTAGCACCCTCTTTAGATTTAGAATTCAGGTCCAGGTCTGCCTTTGCCAATTGTGGTTAAACACCTTCTGATGTTTTTATATACTTGAACAATTTGCTAATCCTAAATTTCCTGCTGAGTACTTCTAGTGCTGCCTGAGGAAATAGAATCTGATTTCTCAGATGGGACTCCCTGTATCTCTAGGTGAGGCAGGAGAGACTCTAGACCACACAGACAAACAGTGATTCCCCTGTTTTCTTGTCAGTGAGGCTCTGCTCAATTCTTCTCCCAGTAGTACTAGGTCTGCCTGGTGTTGATAGTGATCTGGGGAAGGAAGTGAGAATGCCTGATACAACTTCTATTGGTAGGTGGGGGGAGGTGTATAATAGAGTGCTCTGCTTCAATTCTAGGTCTTTAGACATTCTACCTTCATCTTTCCCCCTCTCCGAGTTTCCCAAAGTGTCCCTCTTGTGTTATCTCCAGGGCTTAAGTTTTTACTTAGTAGAAACTCAGACAGAATTAGACTATACTGTCTTATATAAATCCCCTTCCTTAGAACTTATATCATTAATTAATTTGTTCCAAGACGTGGGGCAAGGCATAGAATGGCACATGGAGGGAAATTTCTATTGGGAATTGGGAGATAGGCAATTAGAAATGATCAAATAAATCCTAACTTCACAAGTAGTGTTATCTTTAGTCCTCAAATAACAATTAGAGTTTAGACTAGAAACCTCCTGGATTCTGATTAGTCCTTTGAACCAAACTCCCAAATGATTAATGCTTCCACCTCTCCTTTCTCATAGATTTTCTCTTTTCTTGCCTTTCTTGCCTGTCACCTGAATTACATCAGTGTCTGTCTGCCTAAGCACACATCTCTTTGGGAGATCCTGGAACCCCATTTCATGTAGTTTTAGAGGGGTTCTCTAAGATAATGTCAAGTCATAACTAACATCTGGTAGAAATCAATCAACAGCTCTACAGGGTTTCAGTAACTACTATGCCTGCAGGTATGGTCCACATTCCTTGGGTCAGTGTGGTCACTTCATGGTCTGATTCTGTGCCAGACTCAACTCATATCCTTTTCTTGCACATCACAGTCCAGAGATACAAAATGCTAATAAGCACTGTAGCATGCCCACTCTCAATCCCACAGTAAAGGAATTGTTCTCTATCTACTTCACTTATCCAGCTATAGAACCCAATTCATCTGACAGAGAAGGGTACAAATGTCACCTCAAGAAAGCTATGACTTCTCCTAATAGTCACTCATTCTGTCCTCAGTGCTAACTTGACTACATTTGTACTATTGCACTTTTATTTGTTTGCAGTAATTTCCCTGTTTATTCAGCAAGTACCTTATTAAAGAGTACTATGTCTTATTAACTTCATCAAATTTGGTTACCAAGGATATTCATGTATGTAGTAGTCACTAAATGCTTGTGGAATGAATAGGCTGTGAAGGGCTTAAAAAACTGTTATACATGAATGTGAGTAAGAGGGAGAACAAGAGACAGAGGGAAGGTCGTTTTTGTTTGGCCTTGATGAACCTGCCTTAGGACAGCTGTGGCCTTGGGATATGACCTTTGTTTTCACTCCTTTTCTGTTTACTCTGCAGAGATGGGCTCATCTCCTCTCATTTCCATCGTGGGATATGATGGTGGAGGCATTCAGCTACTCTGTCAGTCCTCTGGTTGGCTATCCCAGCCCATAGCGAAGTGGAAAGGTCCAGAAGGACTTGATTTACCTTCAGACTTCAAAGTGAACAAAGACATGCATGGTCTGTTTCATGTGGAGACCACCCTTACAGTCCACAAAAATTCTGGAATTATATCCTGTTCCATCCAACTTGCTGACCAGAAACGAGAAGTGAAATCCAGACTATTCATAGGAAGTAAGTGGAAAGGAGCTTGTACAGTGTAACACTTTAGAGGAACAGAAACTCTATCTTAGGATTGTTTAGCATTGTCTTATTTTAATGATTAGTTTTGAAAATCAAAGTAAAAGAGGTGTAAAAAGAAAGTAATAAATATTTGATTAGGTAGAAACAGGATTGTTTACAATTCTTAGAAGTGGAATAGGGTGTTTCCTTCACCATATAATCACCCTCATGATGAACTCTCTGAATTAAACAGAATAGAATAAAAATATATATGATTTCAGGAAGGATTTAGAAACTAATAGAATAATGGATGCTAATCCAAATATTTGAGTAATTACAATTAGTGGGAAGAGACTTAATAATATAGTTAAAAGACAAAAAGTATAGGACTGGGTTTAAAAATGCCAATTGTTTCATTAATAGAAAAAATATTTAAAATGTGTGAATTCTTTATTGAAATACAAAAAGTGGAAAAAGAGATTCCTGTCAAATATTAACCAAAGGAAACCATAAAAAATATATTGGTATCAAGAAAAGAAAAAAAACATTCTAAGAAAAGTTACTAAAAAGTAAAATTATTTCATTAAAAATTAAAAGTCAATTCACCAGGGAAATATAAATATTTTAAATGTAAATAAACTATATGATATATATTTCACACTTATAAAGCCAGTATCATGAAAGCAGAAGAAAAATGACAATTTGTGTGTTCCAAAGCTGATTAGGTAAACAAATAAAAATCAGTGCTAATACTGACAATTTGAGTTACAAATTAAGCAGCTTGAACATATGATCATTAGAAGACAGTACCCTAAAAAACATTTTTACAGTGTTGGCAATCAAACCCAGGGCCCTATGCACTCTAGGCAAGCACTCCATCACTGATCTTCACCTCTAGCCTCCCAAAACATTATTTTAAAGCACACATGGGACACTAACAAAATTTCACCAGTACAAGCACGTAACATGGCTTTCAGAAATTTGCCAGTATATAGTGTCCATGAGAAAATGCTCTCTAACCATAACGTTAACTTAAATGATAATAATAAAAATAATCCAAAATTATTATATGCTTTAAAAATTTTTAAATTTAAATTTTTAAATTTTAAAAATTTTATAAATTTTTAATAATTTATAAAAGATAGGTCATTGAGAAAAGTCCCTAAGGTCATTAAAAAATTCTTAGAACTGGATGGTAATAAAATCACAACATATCATAATGTGTAAAGTTAAAGTAGTTTTCTGAATCTAAATTATACTATTAAATGTTCATATTAGAAGTGAAAGGACTGGCATGTTAGGTATTGATATTTATTTTAGGATCAACTGAAGAGCGTAAGGATGGAAATAGTAAGGAGAATGGTTTACAAAAACCAAAATTTCAGATTAACAAAACTAAAGTTACATGTTTCCAACTATTGCACATTAAGCAGTGTAGGAAAAAATTGGAGGTAGAACTAAGAACAGAGATAGAGCAGAAATAAATTGGTCATGATAGGAAAGTGCATACTACTGAGTTATGTCCCCAGTCGAATTCCAGGAATTTATATGTTAGCATAAATGGTCAATAATTGCCTACACACAGATAAGTAAGAACAAACTGAGAATCTCTATTTAGTATATATTTAGTATATGGACCAGGTGTGGTGGTTGTGCCAGTAGTCTCAGCTACACAGGCAGGAAGGTGGAGAGTTTGAGGTGAGTCTAGGCAAAAATAGCAGGAGACCATATCTCAAAAGCAAAATCTTAAAAAGGGCCAGGAGTGTGGCTCAAGTAGTAGACTTGCTTACCTAGCATGCACAAACCATGGTTCAATTTTGAGCACCACAAAATGTAAGTATTTCATGGCTATGACAATTGAGACAGTAAAAATTTTGGGAACAGAGACAGACAAGTGGACCAATGGTACAGAACAGAGTCAGAACACATATGCAAGCCTAAACTGAAAGATAATGTAGACAGATATGACAATGTACCTAACAGTGTATAAGAAAAGTCCATTAACAAATGATGCTGGCACAGTTGTTCATTTAGAATAAAATGAAGTAGAATCTCTAACTCATTTAGATAGAAAAATAAAATCCAGATGGATAAAGACTTATTCAGAAATACAAAGGTTTTTTGTTTCTTTGGTTTTTACATTGCTATGTAATGGAGGTTGGCATTGAACTTACTGTGTAGCCCAGGCTGATCTTGAACTCAAAATCCTCTTACCTCACCCTTCTGATTACTGGGATTACAGAGGTGCACCACCACACTCAGTCATAAATGAAACATTTTGACATGTACAAGAAATTATATAAAAATATCTGTGGGATGCAAGAGGATTCCATAAATGAGAGTCAAATTACTTTTGCTGCTAAGCAAACACTAAGGGGTCTCTGGGACCGTTTTTCAGAGACATTTTTCTACACATCACCCCGGTTACAACCTTCTATTATGCTGATGGTCCTCTGCATTGGTGGAGCTGTTTGCATCATTGGGGTGAGGATTTCATCCTCCAAATCCCAGGGGTAAGTGAGAGAGAGGGAGGGAGGGAGGAAGGGAGAAAGAAAGAAAGCAAACCTTGTGGCTGATTAATACTCTGACAGGGCTGATATCAGGGATTCTCAGAACTTTTGGCTCTGTTCTTATTTGGCTCTGTTCTTATTTGGCTCTGTTCTTATAGCCCTGGGCTCCAGAGCCCCATGATATGGTCCTTAGGGATCGCAGTCCTCATCCTCTTCTGTGCTGACTGAAATGACCCTCTCAGGAAACACTAGCATAGCCAGGCTTCTCCTACATTATAGAGGACCCAGATTTAAGGAAAGACTGATTTCCAGAAACTATAGAGCACCAAGATTTAACTTTTTAAAATTACACTGTAGTTGAATTATATATATCACTGCAGTTGAAATTTCTTATATGTATAATACATATGTAAAAGTGGACAACAAGAATGGAGTAATATTCACCCTCAAGAAGAGTTTTCATCTCCAAGAACCAATTTTCTCCTCTTTGGAGGTGACACTTCCCTCTGAGGGCGCATGCCTTAATCACACCTCCCCAGCTCAACTACTTCTCCCTGATATCCTCCACCTTTATAACCTCAGAATCATAGAATCCCATCCCTCTCTACAGTGTGGATGATCTTGATATCATCTTTGATTCCAGATAAAGATGTTCAGTATAGGGATTGGGGATTTGGCACAGAAGCAGAATTCCAGGAGAGATACTGTCATTTATACTCCCTGCTTATCCCACCTGAGTTGTGAGCCATGTTTGTGTTTGTATCTTATACATCATTCTGCTGAACACTAAATGTTCTGTTTTTATTGCAGGAATATGTCAGGAAGAATTACGTAAGTGCCTTGTTATGTTTGGACTCTTCCACACTCACTTCTCTTGAAGCCTGCAGTGTGAGCTATCTGTTCCCTATCATGATTCCACATGGTACAGAAAGCTCAGCTTCAGCAATGAGAGCAGCTGGTTTGTTCTCCCCAATATTTAACAAGAAATCAATCCTCAGATATCAGGAACTTTGTAAAGGACTTTTGCAATCTAAAGAGAAATAAAGAACATTGTCAAAACTGTAATATGGAAATCAGGGTCTAGACACTTTTAACAATTATCTACAAATTTTTCCTATTCATGCAGGATGAAAACAGTAGATTTTGTGTGCTCTCTGAGGGTGTGCAGATCTAAGATGCTGAGGAACCTGTGGGGTGTCTCCCTCTACTCCTTGATTATTTCCACATTTATCCAGGCTTGAATCACCACTGAATATTCTGCTTTCTGTTTCAGGGAAACTCCAGAATGAACTGGGTAAGAGCATTGTCACTTGCAGAACTCTCCTCCCATATGCTCTTCTTGGCCCTGCTCTGTGATTTGTTTATCTTCTGTGTTTTCTGTTTCAGAATGGAGAGAAAATCACAGACAGGAAGGTAAGGGAAGCTATTCCAACTACCCTCCATTGGTGTCTTCCTTATCTGTCCCCGGGTTTATGGATCCCTGAAAGGGCAACCTTGTCATGGACTTCAAAGTTTTGAAGACTCTGAAACTGTCAAAGTTTTCAGCAGATACTGGGTGAGGCACAGTTTACAAAGAGATCTTATTGGTCGTATCATATTTTGTGTCCCCAAAATGGCATCCAGCTTCAGTCTCTCCCTTCTCCCTGTTTCCTGTTCTCCATGAAAGTAATGACATAAGTGTTTTTCTCTTTGCTTTCAGAATTCAAAGAAGCCCAGAAACATGCAGGTAAGGGCTGAGGGAGAAACAGTGAGACAGAGCCTTGGGAAGCCATAGGAGAGGGAACTGACATATATGGGGTTGCTGAGTAATACTAAGAGCCATATGACCTGCATATGACTAATCTGTGATCCACTCCAGGTGCATCTTCCCCCAGATATACTTCCTAGTCCATGGAGGGACAGTAGTGGAATCAGGACAACACACAGAAATTTGTCACTTCACAGCTGGACTTCAAGTGTCAGTGAGGTCCTAGGCTGTACTAGAGATGAAGGAAGGTTCTGGCAGGGCAGTGTATATGGAAATTATCTCCAAGATCTCACCTAATCCCAATCTGAATCTGTATACTATGAGATAGGTGACTTCTGAAGCTCCTTTTCCTCACAATAACACATCCTTTTTCTCCTTCCCCCTATATGATTAGTGAAAGTGACTCTGGACCCTGACACAGCCCACCCCAACCTCTACATTTCTAAGATGCAAGCTGTAATATGTAACAGTCATCCCCAGGATGTACCCTGCTCAAAGAAGAGATTTAAGAGAAGGTGTGTGGTGGCTATTCAGGGTTTCCAGTCTGGGAAACATTACTGGGAAGTGGGTGTGGGAAACAATAACATGTGGTACTTAGGGGTATGCCGGGATGATGTGGACAGGAATGAAAAGTATGTGATTTTGTCTCCAAACAATGGGTACTGGGTTCTTGGACTAGAGAGGGAAAATTTTTATTTTGTAAGTAATCCCAATAGAATCTACTTCTTCCTAGAATCCAATCCCAGTCGAGTGGGTGTCTTCCTGGACTATGAGGGTGGGACCCTCTCATTCTTTAATGTGGATGATCAGTCCCTCATTTACACTCTGACATATCAGTTTGAAGGGTTATTGAAGCCTTTCATTCAGCATAATTCACAATATGAGGAAAATATGACTCCCATAGTCATCTGCCCTGTGCCATCGTGATAAGACAGAGAAGCCTCTTTTCAAAATGTCTCCATATCCTCCCACATGGAGAACAGAACCCTCCCCTAAAGTGACCATGCCCTTCTTCTGCAGGAAGGTGCTCAGAAAAAGCAGTACTTCATAGTCTCCATTAGGTACAGCATTTTTTCCCCAAACCCAGAGCCCTACACAGCCAGTAGAGATGGGTTTTAGTTAATACTCGTCCATCCATGTCAGGAATCGTGGCTGTCTTAATATGAAAATGAAAGAAAGTAGATGTTGGATTTAGTTTACCAAAACTCCACTCAGCTAAGAGACTTTGTATGAGTTGCAACTTCTCATAATCCTTACTTGTCAGTCATAGTGATTCCCACCTCAAAAATCACAGTAAAGTGTAAAGAGAAAAATGAATGTGAATCATGCTTGATTTTGTCAATGGCATAGTGTTTGCTAATTATGTGTTCTTAAATTACATTTCCCCCCAGTATGACCTCTATTTATTCCACATTAATTCATTTTTCCATACTTCAAATAAGTCGTGGAATAGACATTAAGCATCTAGCCTGGGCCAGGACAAAGAACTGAACAGGAGTAAGTACTTCCTAACTCATTACATAAGATCTGCATTAATGTGATTCCAAAACAAGCCAAGGACATTATAAGAATAGAAAACAAAACTATAGATTCATGTCCACCATGAACATCGTTACAAAAATCCCAAACAAAATTTTAATGGATCTACGTAACAAAACATTTGCTGGGCATTGTGGCACATATCTGTAACTCTACCACCTAAAAGGCTAAGGCATTATAAGTTTGAGGCTAGCCTGGACATAGAAAGACCCTGTCTCACAAGACAGAGAGAGAGAGAGAGAGAGAGAGAGAAAGGAAGGAATGGAGGGAGGGAGAGTGGGAAAGATCAATTTATTTAAGGAACATAAATCACTACTGAGTGTGACTTATCCTGATTGTACAGAGTTGGTATACTAAATTATCAATATCAGCCACATAATTCACATATTCACAAGCAAGATGAAGCTTGAATGGCTATTAAGGACATTGTATTGAGTGAAAACTGGTTAGCTCAAATGGTTACACATTGTATGATTATGTATAAAACTATTATGAAATATACAAAAATAGAAATAAATGAGTAGATCAGAAAGGTTGGGGAAGGAGATGGTGGATGTCTATATAAAGGAGGAGGTTAAAATTACGTTTTATGGTGATGGAGTCATATTTTGACCATGATAATGGTTATATGAATCTACAAGTGTAATAAAATTGCACAGAATAAACATTATACATGTGTATACACATACTGTACACATCTAAAGAAACTAGTGAAATATGATTTATACCTGTAGTCTAGTTAAGTATTGTGCCAATGTAAATATCTTGGTTTTTGGTAATTATATAAGATGTTACCATTGGAGAAAGCTTAATAGAGGGTATTTGGAACTACTATTTTTTGCAACTTCCTGTAAACTTACATTTATTTTTAAATAAACATATGTTTGAAAATAAGCTTATAAACTTAGAATTGTCAGAAAATAAAATGTTGGATTGGCAAAAAGTGGTTCAACTGGGCCAAGGAATTAATTATTGGTAATAATAGGAAACATGTATTTTATATGGAATTTAGAGATTTCAACTAGTGTTAATTGTGCCCTTTCAGTCCTCTCTGGGGGTTGGTACCAGTGGGGAGTGGGAGAATACATGAAAGAATGCAGGAGGATGAATGTGTTGGAAATATTGCACTCATGTAAAATGGAAAAATAAACTTGCTGAAACTATTCTGAGGATGTGGGTAGAGATAAAGGAGAATGGATGGAGGGGTGAATTCAAATATGATAGATTGTAAGAACTTTTGTAAATGTCACAATGTACTCCCAATACAACAATAATATATATAAAAAAATGTAAATAAAAATTTGCCCCAATACCTATGCAACATAGCACAGTGCTAGCCCACACAGTGGCACTTCTCAATCAAGACAAAATGAAAGAGTGGACCATGCATTCAATGTTCACTAAAAACAATGAAACACTGGTATCTGCATTACAGAACATTAGGATGCTCTACACTCCTGTATTTTCCCACAGAAACACTGAGTTAAAAAGAATATATGGACCAGAATACCTCTGTGAGAACTCTAGAGACCACTTTAGAAGATATAACACCCAGGTTCATCATAAAAATCAAGAGAGGATTTCAGTGAAAATGATAGGAAAATTTATGATGGTTTGCAAACCCACCGTGTCCCTTTCCCTATCCAGCTGGATGCAGTAAAACTGAGATGAAGTAACACACACCAAAGAAACTCCCGGGGTGGAAACAAAAAGACTAGTTGGTGAATCCCCACATTCTAGCAATGTCCAGTATATTCGTTTCTGTGTTGCCTCAGTGGAGTGCTGAAGGATTGTTAGCATTGCTTAGAAACTCCTGAAAAGAGGAAGTGGTGTCAGGATAGTGGTAAATGTAGGAAGTTTTTAATCACTTGTTCTCACACAGACACACCTAGTTGACATATGAACCAGAATACCCATGTGAGAGCACTAGAGAACAATTGAAAATCTATACCACCTAGACCAATGTGAAACCAAGACAATATCTCAGCAAAGGCGAAAAACCTTACAGTACTTTACATTCACTGGGTCCCACATGCAACCTAACAAGTGCTATATCCACAGCTGGGACACCTCAAATCAGGATGAAAGAAATGGGTCATGTATTCATTGTTCTGGCCACTTAAGAGGAAGCCTTTGAATGACTGAGTTATCTTTTGCCTAAACTCAGAGTTCTGATGGGAATGGCAGCATAATTTGCGAAACTGGTGTAAAAAAAAATTAGCATTGTGGCATGTTACAACTGGCAGGCAGATGCCATGAGTACAAGAGATCAAATTGGTCCTGGAACCAGACTGACTGGTGAAGGTTTTCCCTTGCATGAAGCCAGTATGCAAAGACTGGTATATTTTTCTCAAGTGCCAAAATTCCAGCAAAAAATTACATGTCATACAAATAAAAAGGAAAAAATGACCAAACAGAATAGAATTCCTGAAACTGACCTTAAGAAATGCAGATGTATGTTCTGCTCAACAGAGAATTTAAAATAGTTTACAAAGATGCTCAGTGACCAATAATTACAGGAGGTAGGAGTTCAAGGTCAGCTCAGGCAAAAACTTAATGAGAACCTATCTCAAAAACAAGCCAGGGGAGGAGCTTCAAGATGCCGACTAGAGGCAAGTAGCTGGCAGCATGAGCTCTGTAAATCTGGAATCTTGCTGAGACACTGGAGCCACACTTACCAGAAAAAAAAACAACAAGAAAAAGCAAAACTAAGACATCCCAAACCCCCAGCCCTTACAAGGCTTCTCCATGCCACATTACACTGAGAAAACAGGAGGGCTTCCATGCTGTCAGATGCTGTCAGCTCCAAACCTGCTTGGGAGACATGGACCAACAGGTGAGTGGAGAAGTGGCACGCAGTACTCCCACAGCCACCCCTGGGAAAGGCCAGCATAGTCTCCTGGACAGACTCATCCCTGCCCCACAGAAAGGGAAAAAAAAACTGAACAATAAACTGGAAATTAAGAAGGGCACAGAGCAGAGAGGGCAGGGTCCGTTGAGCATACTGGAGAAGGGGGGGCGGGGCAGCTCCCCAAACAAACTTTCAGCAAGCAGCCAGCAGGAGTACCTGGCTGCCGAGGTTGGAGAAACACCAAAACTACAAAGACTGAAATACCATTGTTCCTGAACCTGGAATTTTTTTTTCTTTTTCTTCTTCTTTCTCTCTAAGTGCTTATCTTGTTCACTGTGTGTTAGTCTACCATCTTTCCCTGTAGATTTGTTTGGTTCTTCTTTTTTTTTCTTTTTCTTTTCCTTTTTTCTCTTTCTCTCTAAGCACTTATCTTGTTCACTGTTAGTCCATCATGTCTCCTTGTTGATTTATTTTTTTCTTCTCTCTCTTTCTTTTCTCTCTTCCTTTCCTGATTTTATTAGTTTTAATATTGTAAGTTAGACAATACCAAATTACACAGAGAACAGCATTAGCAATAGCACCAAGTAGAACAATGGGAAGAGGAAAAAAGTATGGAAACTATTCTCCTAATTCAGTACAGGACACAGAGGTTAATGAAGAAAACAGATATCCAGTCCCAGATCCCAACAAAACAGACAGACAATTCCAAGAAACCCAACAAAGCCCACAAGGGCATTCTGAAAGAAGAAATCCTACAAGAAATCACTGAGAATTTCTTGGAGATGTTACTAGACAAAGTCAACCAAAATGTACAGGAAGTTCTCAAGAAATTCCAAGACAACAAAAATGGAGAATGTGAGAAGACACAAAAACAAAGTATTAAACTCATAGGAGCCCTAAATAAATACCAAAGTGAAACAGAACACTGTAAAGAGATATAAATGAATTGAGGATAAAAATTGATATTAAAGAGGAAGTAACCCATGATATGGAAAACCTCAGAAAAAAATGAAAAAGAAATACAGACACAATGGAAAGCCACTCCAGCAGAAATCAAAACAATCCAGAAAAACAGAATCTCAGAATTGAAGATGAAATGACAATTAAAGGAAAAACTGAAGAGAAATTACTCAAACAACTCAAGACCTATGAAAGGAATATGAAAGAGTTCACTGACTCTATTAAAAGACCAAACCTGAGAATCATGAGGATTGAAGAAGGAGAAGAGGTGCAAGCAAAAGGAATTTATATAATATATTCAACAAACTAATAACCGAAAATTTCCCCCAAATCTAGGAAGAAACTATGCCCATTTCAGACAGGAAGCCTTCAGGGACACCAAAACAGACTTGACCAAATAGGCAAACTATCCCACAACAATATTATCATTAAAACAACAAGGGCACAGAGACTAGAGAAAGAATATTAAAGACTGTTAAGAGAGAAAAAAACTAATAACAGTACAAAGGTAAACCCATCAAAATCACAGCAGATTTCCCACTGAAACCTTAAAAGCAAGAAGAGCATAGAGTGAGTT